TTTTTTTTGTTTTGTTTTGTTTTTTACATTCACCTTTCACTAATAATTTGCTAATAATCTGACAAAAAGAATGTCAGTGTGATTTCAATTTAACTTTACATTTTCTGCAGGGGTGTTCTTCATCCCTTATGTGCTCTTCTTGTTTACCTGTGGCATCCCCCTGTTTATGCTGGAAACCTCTCTCGGCCAGTACACCAAACAGGGAAGTATTACCTGCTGGAAGAAAATATGTCCCCTGTTTGAAGGTAAAGGTCTAGAATTACTATCCTTATCAAATAAAACGTGTGTGTATTTAAATGTAAAAGATGGCACTTGGACATATTTTTAAATAAAACATATGTCATTCAGTTATTAAAGGGAACTAATGCAATGGTTAGTGTTGTCACCTCGCAGGAAGATAATTCCAGGTTCCAACCTGCTGGCTGATTTACTTTATATTAAATCATGAAAACACTTTCATATTACATTTGAATAATGTTTGATTTTGTCCATAAAGTTTAGAATAATCTGCATTCATAGTGCGACAAACAGGATTATAGGTTAAGTCATTATTATTTGATGTTATTAGCATTAATTACAATTTTTTGTTGCTAATTTTTTTAGTATTATTTTTATTTGTTTTACATTTTATTTAAATTTGAGTGCTTTTATGACTTAAAAATGTGCTGGTATATGTAAAAATCTATCACTGTAATTATTTATCCTGAAATTTCAGAAATGTTCTGTTACATATTTGAGTTTTTTTAATTTTTATTAGTATTATTTTATTAATGGTACTTTGTACTTAAAAGTGAGCTATTTAATCAATTTAAAATCTGTTGATTTACGCAAAGCATAATACCAAGCAAGGTGTATGTTCTATGACTATAGATGTTGACACAAAGGCGTTAAAGACTATATATTTTTGTTTGTTTGCTTATTTACTTTTCAGGGCTGGGTTATGGAAGTCAGGTGGTTGTTTTATATTCCAGTATCTACTACATCATCATATTGGCATGGGCTTTCATGTATCTCTTCTCTTCTTTTAACTCTGAACTTCCCTGGGCAAACTGCAGAAACAGCTGGAACACAGGTACGTTCCAGTATCAGATTTTGGGCTCAATTGAGGAGCTGATATTGGACCTGGAGTGTAATGTCCAGCTGCTGGACACACTGACCAGGCATACAGTACCTGGCAAGCCTTGATTCTAAAGTTTAATTGTTGGAAGATGCTTCCTACTTCCCTGAAACATCCATTGTCAATGTATGTGCAGTGGGGGGTTCTTGTTTCCACATCATGCTTGAATATTGTACCAAACTATAGTTTGGAAATCATGGTACCTAACCCTAATCCATCATTACTTGTTATGTTCATATGTTTAAGTTTTAAACTCAAATTTACAGTAAGCTGAGCACAAACAAACCTTTCCCCTTCAATAGATGAAAGTAAAAATAGTCATCTAGTGTCAAACTCTGCATTTACTGTATATCATCCCGTAGAGTGAAGGTCAAACACTGACATTACATTAAGCAAAACACATTTTTAGTTGAGTGACCTTAATCTCTAGCAGACAATTTTACAGTTATATGAAAATTAATAAATTAATGGTATTTTAGTCAGTTTGTTATTGTTGATAAGCTAAACTACATGAACATGCCCTTTATTCCGTTTTTATAGGAAAAAATACATACAATAAAATACCATCCCAGTTTACATGCATGAATAAAAAGATGGATAGGCTGTAGGATCACAGTAGGCTATTACTTAATGCAGTGGAAAAATGTTGCTAGAGGTTTCAAGGCCTTGGTAAAAAGAGAATCTGACAATGTGGGTATATGCCCTTGATGGTCTTGTTTAAAATATCTTGCATTTCTCCACAACAGATTCCTGTGTGGAGTTCGATCGAATGGCTAATTCTTACAACTGGACAGGGGCAGAAAATGTGACATCACCAGTGACAGAGTTTTGGGAGTGGGTATAAAAACTAACTCCACAATCAAATGTTCAAGTATGACAACAAGCTCTGAAAGTGGTATTTTATGAAATATAACTGGAAATGTGATTTGCAGGAGAAGAGTTTTGAATGTCACAGGAACTGTCCATGAATTAGGAGGATTACGATGGGAGCTGGTTCTTTGTCTTCTGTTGTCCTGGACCATTTGTTACTTTTGTGTCTGGAGAGGAGTAAAGTCCACTGGGAAGGTAGGACAAGGACTTTTTTTTATAGGTTGTAGACAAAGTACCAAAGCAGCCTTCAGCTGACATTATTCTCTTCTGCTCTTTAAAAACACTGCAGTCATATCACCTTGCATAACGTCATGTCTAATCACAAACTGAAAACATAATCTGCTTGTACAAAGTTCATGGTTGATCATAATTGTTTCTACATTTACCAGAGGATAAATCCTACAAACATTGATGATCCTATGACTTTTCACCTGGTTCCTTCTACAGGTCTAAACTTTCATTTATCAAGAGATACTGTATATCTCAACATTCTATTGGACTGACACAAAATTCACATGTATGATATTCTGATGATGTATCCTATTGACTTTGGTCATCCTCTTTCCATCTAGCATAACAATAAAGTTGACCAACTCAAAAATGCTAAACATTAACAGCTGCATCATATTGTCATTGTTACCACGTTAGCATGATGACGATTTAGCTCAATGCACTGCTGTGCCAAAGTATAGCTTTACATAACTGCTGGTGTTAAACAATACAGTAATCTCTACATCTAAAGCTGCAGTATATTTGTATTAACAAATAGTGTTTTTAAATTAAAAAAAACATCTTTAGGATTTTGGGTGGTGTACCGTGTTTCCTATATCTTTTCACACTTCTCAACAGGATACAGTGTATGATTATTTGTATTTGTTTGAAATATAAGGCTGGTTATTTTCTATATTAACAGGATTTTCAACACTTCCAATATGGAGACTTAATCCAACAATGATTTGCCTCTACTCATGGTTAATGTCCATCAGTCTGTCAGTCCTAGATCAGCTTGTTTGTCTATGCCATAGACCTCCACTGTTGTTCAAATAGGATTAAAAACACATTAGTGAAATACAGTACTGCACTGGGTGACATATTTCTTCATTAGCAAACCCCAGACCTGAGTGTGAGGAGCTAGCGCAATGTAAACAAAGCCGAAAGCTCATACAAGATCTCCCACAGGGCGAGTTGACTCTGTCTCATGCTAACTGGTGCTTAATAAGTAAATTATGAGGTCCCAGAATAACATTTGGTGACATATGAAGAATGAAGAATTTCCTCAGTGACCCATGCATTTGCATGGTGCTAACTTCAGGATATGGATCCTTTGGGGCAGCATAATTGGGTCTGGGGCTTTGTAATGAAAGAATGTGTCCCCCAGTGCAGTAATGTTTCGTGGTGTTTAATTGTTTTTGAACAACAACATAGATCCATTGCACAGACAAACCCTTCCAAGTGAATTTATGCAGGGAGGACATCAGTTTTGGAGCATTCATGGACTGTGAACACATAAAGCCCATCCTAGCAACACAGCTACAGATTAACAAACAGTTTGACTCTTTCACAGGTTGTTTACTTTACTGCTACATTTCCATATGTGATGCTGGTGGTGTTGCTTGTTCGTGGACTTACATTACCTGGGGCCATAAATGGGATCAAGTTCTACCTCTATCCTGATCCATCTCGCCTTGCTGATCCCCAGGTATAAGCAGATTTTACTTCTCTCTTTTAATCGGGGGTGGCTAATCCTGGTCCTCAAGGGTCTCTGCCCTGCTTGTGTTCCAACTATCCCTGATCTGCCTACTGCTGATTACCTGGATCAAGTGCGTTCTAGCTTCTGATTGAATGAACACACCTGATCCAAGTAATCAGCGATGGGTAGGGCAGAGATAGTTGAAAAAGCAAGCAGGGCAGCGGCCTTGCAGGACCGAGACTGGCCACCCCTGCTTTTAATGATGTGTGATTCTGTCTCTTTAGCTCTCGTGAACCTGCAGGTGTTTCCATCATTGCAAAGACATGTTGATTCAACAACCATTGTTGAGTCAACCATCATTGTTGATCAAACTCAGCAATTTATTTGAAATCCTGTACATTTTCCAAATATAGAAAGCTGGATTATATAGAAATATGTCTTTTATTTGATTCACATAGCACCTAATTATTTCCATTTATTATAATGAGCCATAAGCAACATAAGTTTTCGTAATACCAGTGTAAGAATAATGTAGTTCAAATGAAGTGCTGGAACAAACCTGTACAGAACATTTAGCATACTGTATGTAAACATACTGTATACGCACAAAGCCATTTAAGTGGAAATTTTAAGGGACAATCAGATTTCAGGAGATTGAAAGGGTTGAATACTTATACACACTTTTAAATGCTGTTTTGATTTTTTGTGTGAAACCACACTATATTTGCAGATGATTGCTTTGCTGAAGACATCAGTGTAAAATAGTATATTTTCATCATGTCATGTAAATCCCTTTCATGTGTAATTGTTTATTTATTTGTCTTGCAGGTGTGGATGGATGCTGGCACGCAAATATTTTATTCCTATGCTATTTGCATTGGGTGTCTAATTGCACTTGGTAGTTATAATAAGTACAACAATAACTGTTACAAGTAAGTTTGATGTATCTATAATGTTTTTACACCAAAATAAAGATGAAAAACAAATACAAGCACAAAACTATACAAAATAATACAAAAAGAAATTATCTGGAACTTAATTCCATTATACAACTCAGATATACAACCAAATGTCAGCATAATTTTTTTCTCTACCTTCACTGCTGAAAATACTCAACAGACAAATTGAAGTAGATTCCTCCAAAACCATTTCTAGTGATTTAGGGGTCTTGCCCAAAAATTTAAAGGTGCTCTAACTTCCTTTCAGCTAATCAAAACAAACTGTCCAGAACAAACTAACCAGTCTTTTCCCCTGCCCCCACATCCTGTTTCCTAAAGATGATATAAACTATGTGTTTATACAAACTGTACAAAAGCATCCTGCAGAGCAAAGCTGCCATATGTGACACTATTGTTAAACAAAACGTGAACTACTCCTAAGTTAAAATCCTATTAACTCAATACAAAGGTAACCAAAGCAAACATGTTAGCTTTAGATGCTAACGCATACAGAACAAAGAACTTCACATTTGAACCAAATTTGAGCCCTTTGGCTACTGTTAATTCTCTCCATCTCAAAAAGCCAAACTGATGGTAACCCTGTATTTTCCTCTTGGTTTGTCTCTCTCTCTCTGTGAGCAAAAGAATGCAATCTCTTCGATCTAACAGTCACTGTTTTGAGCTTTTAGCTCCTTCATGGCTGGCTGTTTGAAATGACTAATTGTGGTTAGAAAAACTCTTCTTATGACCTTTGTTAGTTGGAGGGCTGAGCTAATGTAAGGACAAATTCTTAAAAACACAGGGTAGAGACGCCGGAATAACAACAGAAGCACCGTAGGTACCAGGATGTCATGAAGTGGGGGTAGCAAAGAGAGCTAATAGCAAAATGAGATCTTTTTCATTTTCACCTAATTAATCAAACAATGTGTGAAATCTTAGTGAATGCACCTGACTTTGGTACATTAATGATTCTGGATTGTGCTGCTCATGGTGAAGAAAAGATGTCAACTTTTATGGAAGTAATACAAAAATGATGGATTATAAAGTTTGTTTTTTGTTTTTAGGGACTGTGTGTACTTGTGTCTTCTAAACAGTGGCACCAGTTTTTTTGCTGGTTTTGCCATCTTCTCTGCACTTGGATTTATGGCATATGAACAGAACGTAGACATATCAAAAGTGGCAGAGTCAGGTATGTATATGTAAAAAAAATATTTTGTGGAGCGAATAAGTAAATGAATATATTAATTTATATTGTACTTTTAGACCAGCAAAAGCACCCAAAATACACTTAAATGCACAGGAATAAAATACTTTGACTCAGCAAGCAGAAAATGACCAGATGTTCATTATTTCTGTTGATTATCTCATTCTCACTGCAGGTCCTGGTTTGGCGTTCATTGCCTATCCTCGAGCAGTAGCCATGATGCCTCTTCCTCAGCTCTGGGCGATTTTCTTTTTCATTATGATCATCCTCCTGGGACTGGACAGTCAGGTAAATCGAAACAGCAGCTTTGTTCCTCTTTTAAATAAAAATGTTAACTAGTCACAGTACAATAATTTCCAAGTTTTTTTGTCTGCTGTAGAACGATAACAAAATTATTTTAATATTTTATCCTGAGTAATTGGGGTGGCTGTGGCTCACGAGGTAGGGCAGTCGTCTCCTGACCAGCAAATTGGTGGTTTGACTCCCGGTCTCCCTGTGTGCCTAAGTGTCCCTGAGCAAGACACTGAACCGCGAATTGCTCCCGGTGGCTTGACTAGTGCTGTTGTGTGGCAGCCTGTCATGAATGGTGTATCATCTCCTGTAAAGTGCAGCACACTGTGGAAAAATGAGCAATATAAATACAATCCATTTACCGATAATCTATACCTCATAAACAATTTTGCACATTAAATAACAAAGTAAGGGGTCCCATTTTCATCTGCTTATGATGCACACATTGCCTGTTTTGTTTTTGTTTTTTATTGTGGTTGTTTTCTTAATGATTCATTTGGGGCAATTTTATGCCTTTACTAGATAGGCGGGGGGTGATAACACCACCAGGATATACAGTATGAAGACATAGTTGAGTAATCATGCCTTTGGATTAAATTCAGATCAAAATTCAGATTTATATATTTATTATTAATAATATAAAAATCTGCTACATATATCATGTGAACCAGCTCTGTAATGTTTGTAATGTGTGAAGCATGGGTACTGTGTAGCTAAGGTCTCTGTTTCAGTTTGTAGGTCTGGAAGCTTTTACAACAGCAATTTCTGACATGAATCCTTCCTTCTTCCACATTGGCCATCGACGTAAAATTCTTCTGCTTGCCATCTGTGTTGCCAGTTTCTTCATTGGCCTTGTTATGGTCACAGAAGTAAGATCAGATTTAAACACCACATTGTCTGTTTTTACAATAACCTTTTTCCTTGTTCAGAGACAGATATCAGACAACACCTAACTGAACTCCTGTCTCTCACACAGGGTGGACTATACGTCTTCCAGTTGTTTGACTACTATGCCTGCAGTGGGATGACTCTACTTCTATTTGCTATACTGCAGTCTGTCTGTGTTGGATGGGTCTATGGTGAGTTAATAAACAAGAATGCCGTCCATGGCTTCTTCTTAGTCAATTTGAATTTCCTCACCAGTGTATCTATCTACTCACAGGCGCAGACCGACTTTATGAAAACATAGAGGACATGATTGGATATAAGCCTTTACCCCTGATTAAATATTGTTTGAAATATATCACTCCAGTAATATGCATGGTAAGTTACACTAAAAGTTTACTCTGTTTACTGTATATAATAATTGATTGTAGCCTAAACCCCATCTGCTTACTGTTGTTAAGCCTGTCAAGTTTTTTGTTGTCACACAGCGCAGATGCAGGTTGCAATGTCAAAAGTAACATTTGCCACATAGTGATGTGTGAAGCAATGATTCCCAAATTTAAGACAGAAGCAGACAAAAGCAGGTCGAATTTATTGGGTGAAATGACAACTATTGCTGGAGAATTTTAGCTGTATAGTCAGCTAGCCAGTTAAGCTAACATTAGCTTCAATAAGTGCAAAATTTCACCTCTGGCATATTTTCAAACTTTTTAGCTAACTTGTGTAAAAAGGAGGAACTTGTAAAATGGATTGTTAATATCCACTTAATGGCTATATGCCAAAAGACTAAACTGCATGTCCCAGGAAAAAACAAGAAGCATACTTTACTTAACAGCTGATGTTTGTTTAGAAGACAGTGAACTAAATCATGTTTGATCAATTATTTGGCCCCAAAGAGGTGTATCAGGCCATACTGTCATAAATCTCCAGGGCCTCATAACAATCAACACCGCCTTCTGGCCCTAACCTATCCTAATATGCACATCCAGTGATTTCATAAATGCAATTACATGGACAAAGTGCAGACCAACCTGTTGACTAAAACCTACTGGTACGGTTAAATGTGCGAATGGAAACAGGACAGCCCCCTGTTTACTTGGAGTACCTATGATGGCTGTCAGCATATGTTGTTCAGCCACACTGGTTGTCATAGTGTTGTGAAATATCAGAAGACATACTGTACCACATCACACTAAGATTTAAATAGTTTTTTCCATGATTATTTTCAGGGAACATTTATTTTCTCTTTGGTCAAATACACTCCTCTGAAGTTCAACAACGAGATGAACTATCCATGGTCGGGTTATGCTTTGGGCTGGTGGTTCACTACTCATGGTTCCCCTCTGGATGCTGTACAATCTGAGTGTCACTCCTGGTACACTACAACAGGTGAGCTGTTTCTATATAATCAGGGTTCTCCAAAGAGCTATGTGTTTGTGTTCTTTTTAGTTTTAATAAAAACTACATTTTTCTTTGTTAGAGGATTTCCATCTTATGCACTCCAGCTGATGACCTTCCTATGACCAAACCAGAGAAGAAAGCCCTTGAGCGGCTCGACTTGACCTCAATGTTCTAGTGAGAGTATAAAGACTGGAGTGGCACTTTAAGGTAGAGGGAAAAGCTCAGTCCAGTGTGTTTTTTCCAAGTTCTTTTTAAAATAATGGTTCCCAGTGTTTTTAGTTTTAACCCTAAAGCAAAGCATTTACTACTTGTGCCCCCTGGTCACTGAATTTCAGCCAGTTCAACCAAAACTGGTTTTTGTTTAAATGGTTTTTAAGAAAAAAAACAAACATTGTTGCAGCAAAATCATGTTTTCATTCTTTTTCATTTTTTCTTTCTTGTCTTAACCCTTTAGATTTAATTTGCAACCCCTTGTGTGGAGACCAAAGCTCCCGGTTTCACTGCACTACAAGAATGGCGTCAAATCTTATATATTGTCTCTTCATCAAGCACTGTAGAGTTTGAATGCTGACTAAGCAAATATATTTTAAAGAATAAGCCAATCTAAGCTCAGAGGTCCACTTGATTGTTTTTGTCTTGATTTTTAAGCTTTCAGATGCATCTTAAGGTCTTTGTTACCTAATTTATATTAGTGATTTATATAAAGTACTGATTCCTTTTCAATAATCAATTAATTGTTTTGTTTAGACAAAAAGATCACAGTTTCTCCAAGCCTGAGGTGACGTCTTCAGATGTCTTGGTTTGTCCAACTAGTAAACAGCTTGTTTTTTTGTTTGATAAATGACCCATACAATACACAGTAGTTGCTGATTAGTATTCTGTCAAACAACTAACTCAATAATCACTTAGTTGTTTCAGGTCTATTTGTAAGTGGTCCTTAAAACTTAGATTATCTTAATGTCCCAGAGTACTGCTACTGTAAAAATGTATACAGCTCACAAAGGCAGTAAACTATTACAGCTTTCAGAAATGGTCATTCCATTGGTCAGTCCAACTGTGATGAAGGAAATACCAAATGGAGAAGAGAAACAGTGTGAACCTGTTGGCTGTAACAGCCAGACGCACAAAATGTATATTTTACCAGAGTTGTATAGGTTGTATTTTTACTGTAGTTTCAGCTTTAAACTTGATTAAACCTAGTTTTTATACAGATTACTTGTTTACAGAATTTGTATGTTAATGTTTAAATCATTTTGTTTTGTTTATTTTCATGTATCACTGAAATTTGTTTCATTAATTCTTTGGATAACATTTAGATGCTGTGATATATTTTTCAAATCTAAGAATCAATCAATAATTGGTTTTCTAAAGGTATCAGAAAACTGTAAATTCACATTTAAATGGACAAAGTCACAATTTATATATCCTATTTTTAACATTAAATACATCATGGATAACCAATTAATGTGTTATTAATGAAAATGCTGTACTAAGAATGAAGATGGTGAAGCATACTGGGACAGGGATTGCTGTGTCAGTGCTTTTTGTTAAATTTACTATATTAAAATAAGGGGGACTTATCTAAGGGCCACACAAATGGAGTTGCTTTCATTCACTGAAGGGTCTGTCATATTACCCAGAAAAATGTTGGTTTCAGTGCTGTGGAGGCTACTGGAAGCTACAGTGACTGGGTTTATTGCCTGGGAGATGGTTTGGTGTGACAAGGTTTGGGACTGACACTTGTATGCATCTGTCTTTCTCTTTTGATATCCTGTTGATGGTGGATCCTTGGTTCTGTTTCAGTATAATTGCAAGGAGCTTGACTGATACTGTTCAGATGACATCAACTGAACTTGTAGTGTTTTCTCCCTGCTAACATGTAACTGAACAGATGTGGTTCATCACACTGAGTTTTTTCCTTCAGTTCCTCTGAGACTTAGAAACTCTCAAATATAAAAAAAATCCACAATTGTATGAATGAATCATAGAATTAAACAATATGCTATTCTTTAATATTATTAATGAAAAGAGGCAATAAGGTGTTAATCTGGTTGATTATTAACAGACTTCAGTAAATCTCATCATTATTGATGTATTCCTCTGTGTTCACCTCATTACTTTGTTAGACTGACTGGTAACATAAGCAGCATTTAACATTTTATGATTTAAATAAATACAAATGAATTAAGAGTGAAATATGGATATGATTTAATACACAATGTTATAATGATTCAAATAAAAGTACATTATTAATCATTTACAAACATTGCTATTTATACATTGCTCTTGTAATTATAACTTACTATCTCATAATTACAAGAAAAGATATAATTAGATCCTGATCCGGTGAGATCCAGTAAATGAGATCCAAATCTATGGCATAATGCAAATATGCTACTTTCATTGGATGGCTTTGTTACACATTTCTTTTTCTGCATACCTGAATCGACTTCCTGGTGACTTTGCCCACCAGCAGAATGTGAATGCACCGCCACTACACCACGACACCACTATAAATATGTATATGCAAAGGTTCCTTGGATGGTTTTTGTTTGTGTGTGCCTTTTGGTTTACAGGGAGAAGATCTATTGAATACCTATACATGTTATACATGTAAATATTTTGTATCGCATTGCACCGAAGTTTGCTTAAAAAATACACATCGCCCATCCTGCTGCATTTTATCTTATTTTCAAACTTTTCAGAATTATTCATATGCGTAATTATAATATAAGTTATCAAAAATGACGGATGTCTAAGTGGCTTGTCACTGTTTTGTATAGTTGACATAAGGGAACAAATAGACAATATATTCTTAAATACAGTTTATTATTGCTAAAAAAATTACATCATCCTCATTTCCACTGGACAAAATATGTTTGAATGTTGAGAGCCAGCAGTACTTGAAAACATTTAGCAACAAGCTGTTTAAAAACCTTCATAGCATACAACAATATTAACACATGTACACACACACACACAGTATTGGTTTCTTTTTACACAAAATATTTAAGACAGCAATAATTTTCATTCTCAGCCAACCAATGTTATAAAACATTGAGAGATTATTGACCAGGTTTATCAAGATATTTCATTAAAAAAAATAATGTTGGTTTGATGTTCACCAAAGTGCATTATTGTCCACTATCCACACATTAAAAATACACCAAAAAACAAAAAAAGAGTGAAATAAAGATATACCTTTTCCAGACTGAAGCAAAAAGAACTACACAGATGTAATATCATGTAATTGATCACATCACCAGAGTTTAAAAAAGTAAAACTGTGGTTCAGAAGATATTAAAGTTTACCTTCAATTTGTGTCTTTATCCCACTCAAAGAGTTGAGTGACCTGTAGAATGGGTTGATTTTATGATCTAATACCTTCTTTTGTGCAAAGTTTAATTCAGTCATTATTATGAGGTGGTGGCATGGTGGTGCAGTCACCTCAGAATAAGGAGGTTTGGGGTTCAAGCCCTGGCTGATCCAACGCTTTTCTCTGTGGAGTTTGCAGGTTCTCCCTGTGCCTGTCTGGCCTCTCTTCACATACTCCAACTTCCTCCCACAGTCCAAAGGCATGCAGCTGGGTTAAGTTGCAATGCTAAATTGCCCTAAGGAGTGAGTGTGGGTGTGTGTGGTTGTCTGTCTCTATGTGTCAGCCCTGTGATAGACCGGTGACCTGTCTCGGCTGTACCACACCTCTCGCCCAGTGCCACCTGGGATTGGCTCCAGCCCCCCCCCAAGACCCTCTTCAGGATAAGCGGTATAGGTAATGGAAGGGTATTTATGAGGCCTTTTGACAGCCAGTGGAAGTAATGCTGCATGTATTCAGCTGTTGAACAAAGGTATGTACATTGAAGATTGTGCCATGCTTTTAGCAAAATCTACATATAGTAACATACAGTGCGTGCAGAAGCTATATAATTTATGTGTGCATGTGTGTTTACAGGTTTTTGTAGCTGCCACTGATGCTTATCATAAATTGTTTTATTTGATCAACTGCCCGGTGACCTGTCCCGGCTGAACCACACCTCTCGCCGAGTGCCACCTGGAGTTGGCTCCACCCCCCCCCCAAGACCCTCTTCAGGATAAGCGGTATAGGTAATGGAAGGGTATTTATGAGGCCTTTTGACAGCCAGTGGAAGTAATGCTGCATGTATTCAGCTGTTGAACAAAGGTATGTACATTGAAGATTGTGCCATGCTTTTAGCAAAATCTACATATAGTAACATACAGTGCGTGCAGAAGCTATATAATTTATGTGTGCATGTGTGTTTACAGGTTTTTGTAGCTGCCACTGATGCTTATCATAAATTGTTTTATTTGATCAACTACAATACCAGACTGATTCTCATTGAAACCTAATGTGTATTTTTTTAAGTACAAGATTTCAATAAATTATTGATTGATGATGCATGTGTTTATGAATAATTATTTTAGTGTATGACTGTGGGCTAACTGCAAATTTTAAATGCGTATTTCTGTAAATACAGTAATCTCTCTACACCATAGTTTAAAAAAGATGTGCTGATTTGGCTTTATACATAGTAGCTAACCAAATATAGTATAATTTAATTAGTAGTTTGTGCTTTTCTCAGACTGTACTCTCTGTGTCAGTTGTCTCCTGTTTGGAAATTTAGGTTGTGTCAGTGATTTATGAAATTTGAAGGTTCATGTTTAGAGAGTAATTACATTTTGGAATCCACAATATGTAGCGTTTTGTAATTGCCATCACTAAATGAATTCAGGTTTTTGTAACTGCTGATACTGTGATGTACTGGGAGCCAAGGCTAAGCTGTGGCCTATTTGCTTTTCTTAAGAATTGATTGCGTTTTTAAATACCACTGAGATAATAGAACATGTTACACCTTTTATTCAATGTACATATTGCACATAAAAAAATAAAATAAAAAAATAAAATTTCAAGTTTGTCCCAAACACCTTGTGAAACATGCATGCAGCTGCCCACAAAAAGGCTTAATACCAAAGACAAATCTGAGGTCTGACAACCAAAGTTTTGGAATCTGAAACACACTGTAGAGGCACATCTTAACTCTACACATTAGTCTAATGATAAAGAAAGTGGATATTCTCTGTGATTTTTGATTAAACAGACATTGAAGAAGAAAAAAAGTTGTGGGAGCTAGAAGTGTTCACTGCTCATTAACTCACCGATTCTACAGTATTTAATCCAGTGGGAGGTCCTGGAAGTTGCGATGTCCATGTAACAGGGGAAATGCTGTTTGGCTTGCAAACATCCCTGCTTAAGCTCTGTTTTATATGCAGGAATGGTAAGGCTGGGTTTTGGGTTAAAGACGTTTCCATTAGAGGCTTTTATACAACTTCATTCCTGCCTCTGCTCCCTGGGCTTGGAAAGTAAAGGGAATCATGTCCTTCTTTTTTCTCCCTTTCAAATATCACTGTTTCGATGGACAGTCACGACTCCTCCGCCGTCGTTTAATGCCCACATCACCATTCACGCAGTTCCTCAGACTTTCGTCCCGCCTCCTCTTTGATGTCTTCACGCAGTTCCTCAGACTTTCGTCCCTCCTCCAGCCTGTTGAAAAGACACAGTGATTAACATGAAGCACAAATAAAAACTGCTGATAAGGCAAGTCAGTAGACTGAAGAGAAAATTTGAATGAAGATCCTAAAATGTCAGACTCTACATGTCCCATACAATTAATTTAAAACTTGAAAACTAACTAACTTTAGACTGAATAATAAGTTGTTTTAAATATCATGTTGTGATTTTGCTTTTCTACTCTTGATTCTTTTTAATAAAAAGAGAAGCTCAAAGTCAAGAGTGAACACTAGAGGCCAGTAGCATGCTACTAAAGAAAGCACAATGACAATTAGGAAGATGATGCAGCAGGGCAATATACCATCACAGTGTAAGTGAAATCTTATATTTTAAAGAATATTTGGCATATTCTAAACTTGGAATGATGTACATTTAAAAAAGTCTCAAATTCCAGTTTCCTTGGCTATGATGTTAAATGCAAAACACATTCCTCGTAGTTCACACAGTTATATGCCACAGTAAACTGGTCCCACTTCTTAACTGTTTGATTTGTCAATTTTCAAGAATGTAAACTTTTGGTGTGTCATAAAACTCAGGAAAACAAGATAATTTCTCAAAATCACCACTAATAATGGGTTTAAAACAAACACGGATAGCTGGTCATATCAGTCCCATGGTGGGTGTATGTGGTAACATATGAGAGCCGAATGTTATTTCATCTAATTTAAGATTAAATTTAATTCACTTAGAGAAAAGAAAAGAGGAAAACACTGACTATCTAGACTTAGTCAGGAACAATCTGTTTACAAACCTTGGTGTCCCTTTCTGCAAATTTCTGGAACATGTTGGCGTAGGTCTTCTTTTCCTGTTCATGATGTTCTTTAATCTTTCCCTGGCAAATGGTAATCTGGCCATGAGCTGCCCGGTTTGAGGGGTTGATTTGAAGCACTTGCTGAAAGTCAGCCATGGCCAGGCTGAACTCGTTGGATAGGAGACGCGCTTCCCCACGACGATACAAAGCTTTCTCATTGCTCTCATCAAGCTCAATCACCTTATACAAATACATAAAAAAAAGCAGTTAGTTAGGGATATATCCAGAACAACAGCAGCTGCAGAGATACTCTGTTGTGATGTTAAACTGTATTTGAATATGACAAATCAAGGTCATGAAGCTCACCTTGTTGCAGTTCTCCACTACTTGTGAGAACTCCTTTAAGCGCAAGAAACACAATGATAAATTGAGGTGCGCTGTCAATACAAACTCTTGTATCCTCTTTTGTTGCTCTATCCCAGTACCACACTCCATCTCTAGCCAGGAAATGATGCGATGGTACTGGATGATTGCCTGGTAATTCCGCCCTGCCTAATAACAGAAGATAATACATTTGTATGATCTTTCCAGTGCTCAGTATGTGAACAAGAACAGAATCATTTGATAAAATAAAGGATGGGGGCTGTACCTTAACATACTGATTCCCCTTATGCTTTACTCCAGCAGCCAGCTCCAGCTTTTCATTCAAGTCCATTTCCCAGGATTCTTTAGCCTTGTGGAGACACAGTTAACATCACAGAAAGTGAGTAAACATTTTTATACTTTCATATAAAATTTTCTATGTAGCTATGTAAAAGAAGCTCAGATTAATGTATCAATCTCAGTCTAGTATAATATAATGTTGAATATGTGTGTGTTTATTCAATAAACCGTAAAAACTGAGAGCAGTGCTCACCTTTTTAAAGTCTTTGAGCGTAACCTCATATACAATGTCTGTGTCTGGTCCAATGTTATACTCTGGTTTGCCTTCACTTCCAAAACCATACCTGTAAAGGAAGAAAGAAAAACCATGACTGATCAGGAGCCTGTTGGTTGTTAACTGGGTGATAGGGAGGGTTGGTGCACTGATCAGGAGCCTGTTGGTTGTTAACATTGTTCACAAGAACAATTAAATACAAAAGATATTTGTTATATACAGTGTTTTAGGAAAACATCCCTTCTACATGTCACACAGCCAACTCAACTCATCTCAAGCCATTTCACTTTTAAACAGCAAGGGGAATAGGAAATCTCATCTGTGACAGCTGATGATAGAAATTCCCCACATTAGCTACACTTGTCAAAAGTTTTATTTATTTATTTATGTAATGTTCAGGTACTTGCTCAAAATACAAAAACAGACTCTCACATGGGAATGAAGGGTAAACACACCTCCCCTATAGCTTACTCATGATTATATATCTTATACTACATTAAAATATGTGTTCTATAGGAGGCTGATGGTGCTTAACAAAAATAACATCTATATATAAGTGGGTTAAGAAGGTGGCATCGTTTTTGCATTAAAACAATACTGTGAAATTAAAAATATATATGTGTATATGAGGAAATACTGGACTGGACGGTTTCCAGAAAGGGCACTGTAAGACTTAACAACCATTGGCAGGTTTTAATTTGTTTCTTTTGTTTGTATGTCTTTATTTCCTCCAATCATATGTTTATCTGTATTAGCTGCCTACATGGTGGCATGAAGTGTCACTTTGAAATGTTACAGTATTATGGGTTCCCAGTACTTCTCACCAGTGTTTTGTATTGTTTGGCCTGGGGCGGGGGGTGATAGGGAGGGTTGGTGTGGGCAGAGTTAAGGTTAATGTGTTTGGATAGTACATTGTGTTCTATCTTTTTTTTTGTCCTAAGATGGCGCCGGTGTATGTGGCTGGCCGTCTGTGGCTGTGGTGTTTGTGGTTTGTTTTAATATTGTGGCGGCCCTGACCAGCCGCTTATGTTTATGTTCTGTTCTGTGTTAAATGGGGGCAGCCGTAATGTTCGAATAATTGGCTTT